CCAGCCCTGGGGCCCACAACATAAGAAGGACATGGAGCTGTTGGAGTGAGTCCAGAGGAGGCCACCAAGATGATCAGGAGGATGGAGCACCTCTGCTATGGAGATGGGCTGATAGAGTTGGGGTTGTTCAGCCTGGAGAAGAGAAGGCTCCAGGGAGACCTTAGAGCAGCCTTCCAGGACCTGAAGGGGCCACAGGAGAGCTGGAGAAGAACTGTTTACAAGGGCATGGAGTGACAGGACGAGGGGTGATGGCTTTAAACTGGAAGAGGGGAGAGTTAGTCTGGATATTGGGAAGAAATTCCTGGCTGTGAGGTGGTGAGGCCCTGGCCCAGGTTGCCCAGAGAAGCTGTGGGTGCCCCCTCCCTGGCAGTGCCCAAGGCCAGGTTGGACGGGGTTTGAGCAGCCTGGGCTGGTGGAGGTGTCCCTGCCCATGGGGGTTGGACTGGGGGGGTTTGAGGTCCCTTCCAACCCAAACCACGCTGTGATTCTATGAAAATGCTTTGACTTTCCCTTAATGTCACAGAACGGTGATGTCTGAGCTCTCTCTGGGCAGGTGCTCTCTGGTAGCAGCCTCACAGCTCGGCTGGACGCTGCTGCTGCTGAGGGAGATCCTGAGGAGATGCAGTGAGTCACTGCTGCATCACAGCCCAGTTGGATTCCATGCTCATCACAGCCATGGTGATGGATGCCTTGATTATCACTGCTGGCTTTTCCTGATCTGGACCTCATAGCAAAGCCTCTGCTTCAGGCTCTGTCCCTTTCTTTCCACACTAGGAAGAGCTGCAGGTCCACATTAGCTGAACAATTTCCATAAGACGCAGGCAGCAGCTGCAGCCTGGCTGTGGAGGGAGGACGTGTGTGCCTGCAGTCTGGAGAGGGGTGGCAAGTTAATTGCATGATGGGCAAGTGCTAAGGCAGTCGCTGACCCACTTTGTGGGACAGGTCGGACTCGATCTTGGTCTTGGCTTGCAGTAGGAAAATGACCCATTAAGAGCCAGCATCAACTGAGCCTGGCAGGGCCTTCCCTGCAGGGAGCTGTGGCGGTCACACGAGCATGGGTCTGTTCCCTGCTGAGCATCAGGCGCTGGAGGCGGTTTGGTGCAGTCCAGAAGGGTAACCCAGTGCTGTTGTGACCAGTGCTGCCATGGTGGGTCTCTCTTGGGAGCCAAAATGCTCATTCCCAGCATGCTGTGGAGGTCCAGGAGGGCTGTGCTCCATCCTCCATCCCAAGGACGTGCATGGGGCTCCCAGCAGTGGCCATGGTGGAGGAATTGGAGCCTCTTGCCCTTGAGTTGCTGCAGAAGGACGAGAAGAGGCACCGGGGATCGAGCAGCGGGAGCCCATCACCCTGCAGCAGGGAACACCAGCGCAAAAGGGCCCTGAGAAGAGCTGAGCTGTGGATGGGACAACTTGGGCTGCGTGATTTCACTTGTGCAGACCTCAGAGCTCTGTGGGGTTGAGGACGTTCCCTTTTTCTGGGACTCTTGTCCAGGCTCCCTCACTCCCATCCTCCTGCGGTTCTTTAGTAAGCTGCCAGCCCTGTTCTTTAGCACTAACAGGGGTTGAGCAGTTGCTGTGACTCAGTAAAGACTTCGGGCACCTCCCAGGTTGTGCTGCTGGAGCTGTGAGGCAGCGGGGCCAGGGGGTGGCTGCCAGGCCCAGGAAGGGGCTGAAGTTTGGCAGGAGTTTGGGAGCCAACCCCCCTGTGGTGTGGGGAATGGTGGCCCCTGGGTCTCTTGTAAGAGGAAATGGGGTTGCTTGACCCAATGGGATCTGTCCAGCCTGCATCCCAGCCAAATGGGCTGGAACAGGGAGCTTCATGGGGAAATGAAGCCCCCAGCCTGGAGTGCAGTGGTGTGGGGTGTCCTGGCAGGAGGCTGCTCCCTGCTTGCAGGAGCCTCCTGGGCTGCAGAGTTCCTAAAAACCCTTCAGTCCTGTTTGTTGTAACTAGGGAAATTGGCCCTTATCCATATACATGTCTAATCCTCTTTGCATCCTCGGGATTTGCTGCTGCAAGAAGTCTGCAGGCTGCCTGACCAGACACTTGCTTAAAAACCCTCTTTATTTGTTTCTGTATTGGCCGTCAGCGTGGGGACTTCTGTGAGTGTGCTCCAGGCTCTTGCACTGCTCCTCCTCTGTCCTGGCTCACTGCATCCATTCTCTCTTGTTTTCTCTGGTTTCTTATCTCATGGAGACGTTGGTCTGGGTTTTTTTCCTCCCCCTGGTCTCTTACCCTTTCTGGAACCGTCTTAATTCTGCGTTAGACAAGATAAGGATAATGAGAGCCCGGTGCCCTGAGGAGCAGCTTCCCTCTCATCGCATGGTGGATTTGTCTGTCTGGCACTGGAGCACGGCTGCAGGTCTGTGGTGTCCTGGGCAAGGCTTTTGGTAAAGAGCTGCCAGCGACACCCTGAATGCTGCTTGCAGTGGCTGCACTGGTTCAGGAAGTAGTGGTCTGGTGTGGAGTTGTGTGTTTGCTGGAAGAAAGGACTTGTTGAGTGTGGGAGTGGGAAAACTACTGAGGAAAATGTTAAGCCCTGCTGCACAGGTGAAGCTGTGGGGGCCTTGGCCCTGGAGTTGCTCCTGGCATTGCCTGCAGCAGTCCAGACTGCGCTTCATTAACGACTGATGGTGCAGCAGCCGTGTTTAGCTCAGGTCCATCGCTTCCCTCCAGTGACTTTAGTCCCTGCTCGTGTGTTCCAGCTGCCGTCTCCTGGTATGACGAGTTCCAGAGGCTCTACGACACCATCCCCTGCGTGGAAGTGCAGGCCCTGAAGGAGCACAGCGACCAGGTTTTGCACCTCAGCTTCTCCCACTCCGGCTGTTTGTTCGCCTCGTGCTCCAAAGACTGCACCGTCAAGGTAAAGCTGCAGCCTCCCCTGCACAGCCCTTTCCTGCTGCGGTTTCGTGGGGGTTAACCACGAGAGCAGCCTTTGGGAAGCCTGTGGGAGGAGAGGTTTGACCAGGTGTCTCTGGGCATTGGGTGGTTCCTGCTGGGTTGTTCTCAAGGCCGCAGAACCAGCAACTGTTGTCGATGTGGCCTTGAGGGCTGTGGCTCCCAGCTCCAGCCTGCGTGAAGGTGGCCAAGGGGCCTGCCTGGCTCTGGCTGCTTTCTAGGTGCAAATCATTCTTGTTGTGCCATGGGCCTAACAAAGGCTGTGGAGGTTGTGATCTGCTGTGGATGCTGTCTTGCATGAGGGGTTGTCCTGGGAGAAATCTCTCTGGACATGAGGAAAAATCCAGTGGTGATGGTACCGGTCACTGCCTGAACACCTCCAGTGGCCGATGGAGGAGCAGTCCTGCATTTAGCCACTCTCCAAAGCTGCTGGCTGATTTCTGTGAGGGAAATTGGCCAGGAAATGGGGACTGGGAGGCAGTTAAATGTGGTCTTTGATATTTGTTTTTTCTTGTCCTGGTGAGTGCTGGCATAGCAGATAAAGCAGCACCACTCTCAGGCTTCTCAGCAGCTTCCTGACTGTTTTGCCTTCTGTCTGTAGATCTGGAGCAATGAGTTGGACATCTCCCTGCAGCACAGCTCCAACATGAGGCCGTACAACTGGAGCTACACACAGTTCTCCCAGTTCAACTCCGATGACTCCCTCCTTCTGGTGTCCGGCGTCTTCGTGGGGCCTCACAACTCCTCGTCAGGAGAGATCGCTGTGATCAGCATGGGTAAATACCACCCTGGGCTGCCTGGGAGGTGTGAAATGCTGGGTGCTGGGTTCCCTTCCTCTTTGGATGCATGGTGGCCTTGACCTCAGCTTGTCCTGCCTTCCACCGTCTGTGCAAAGGGGTCCCAATGGCAGATTTGTAGGGTAAACCTGGATAGCTTTAACACCCTGGAGGTGTCCAAGAAGTGGTGGATGTGGCACTGTGGGACATGGTTTAGTGGGCACGGTGGCATTGGGCTGAGGGATAGACTTGATTGATCATAGTGATCTTTTCCAACCTTAATGATTCGGGGATCCTAACTCTGCTCACACATCATCACCTAAAGGCAGCGTGGCACATATTTATCCTTGCTTAACTTCCGTTCTGGGTGACTGGGCTAGGCAAGAGTAACCTGTGCTGCCTGTTGTCCCAAAGCCACCATTACTGACCCGAGAGGTGCTAGTCCCACCCTGAGGTCTCAGGGGGCTTTGAGATGTGTTCATCCGGGCCTGCTCCTCCTCTTCTGCTGCAGTTCTGGGAATCCCACTGATCCCCACTGTGTTATCTCTGTCCCAGTGTGCCAAAAATTGAGGCGTGCTCTAAATGCACACTGTCCTGCTCAGAAAGGCCCTGGGCCCTGGGGCTGGCAGCGAAGTTCTGTGCCTGTTTGACTTGCTCTTGTCCCTGGGGTGTCTGCTCAGGGCCATGCCTGGAGAAGGGCTGTGAGGTTAGATTGTCTGGGTGCCCTTTTATTTTGGTTTCCCTTCTCCGTGCTCTCCCCACACATCTCTGTAGAAGACAGAAATCATCCGTCTCCACAGCAATGGCTGGAACTGGAGGGTGGTTGAGCAGCATCCTCTTGGCTTGTGGTGGAGGTGCTGCATCGGTGCCTCTCCTGCAGAGCCCTGAGTCCCATTCCCACATCTTTTGCCACAGTTTCTCCCAAGCCCTTGCCTCATGTTTGTGTTTCCCCTCTTTTCCAGAGAACTTCACGCTGCTTTCCAGGGTGAGGAACAAACCCTACGATGTGTTTGGCTGCTGGCTGAATGAAACCAACTTGATCTCTGGCAATCTGCATCGGATGGGGCGGATCACCTCCTGTTCTGTGCTGTGGCTGAACAACGCTTTCCAGGTGAGGTGCCTTCGTCGCAGCTCCACAGGCAGGACAGCTTCCTGCTGGCTCCTGGGCTGTGGAGGAGATGCCAGTGGGGAGGAATGGCCCAGTCCTCCTGTCCTCCCTGTTTGTCTGCTCTGATGTGCCCTCAGGATCTTGAGCTTGAGGCAAACCATGCGTGAGGCTTCTCCACGCTTGGTGTTGTGGTCCCCATTGCAATATTTGAACTCTGCCCTCAGATTCCATTAAGTCTTGCCCTGCTAATTGGGATGAGGAGTTGACTACAGCACCCTAGAGTGTGTGTTGCTCAACATGAGAGTGGTTGAACCACGGCAGGGCTGCTGAGATCCTTGAAGCTGGGCCTGGGATGGCTGCAGCCTGGCACATATCCCAGCAATGGCCGTTCTCCCACTTGGCAGCTCAGTGCATTGTTCCCAGGAGCTGGAGGCAGCTGAGAGGCTGAGCTCAGCCCTGCCTATCCTTGCTGGCATTTCTGTGGGCTGGGGGCTATTTCTGATGCTGTGATGAGACCTGGAGATGAGTGTGTGCTGGCCATAGACTGCTCATTTGCTGCTGCTTTGTTCTCTGTCACTTGTGCTGCCCAGACGTGTTCCTCTTCTGTGTTTTGCCTCTGTCTCAATGTCACAGCTGCACATCGTGGTGTTTTGTCTTTTTTAATGTGATTGATGCTGGCTCCAGGTGAAATCTCTGGTAGCAGAGACTCTTAGCATAACCACATCTGTGTGCTGCGCTGACACCACACCATTAACTCTTCTGGCTCCAGGAGTCAAGGAAGGCCCTTGCCCACTCTGACAGCGTGGTGTTTTGTCTTTTTTAATGTGATTGATGCTGGCTCTAGGTGAAATCTCTTCCCATAACCACATCTGTGTGCTGCGCTGACACCACACCATTAACTCTTCTGGCTCCAGGAGTCAAGGAAGGACCTTGCCCACTTTGACAGGGGGGTGGAAGTGCAGCCACAGACTGCAGTCAGGCAGGGAGAACCCTGTGCAACCCCTGCCAGAGCAGGATCACCAGAGCAGTCACACAGGAACACGGCCAGGGCTTTGGGTGTCTCCACACAAGGAGACTCCACAACCTCTCTGGGCAGCCTGGGCCATGCTCCAGAACCCTCACACTGACAAAGTTTGTCCTCATCTTCAGCTTGAACCTCCTGTGCTCCAGCTTGGGACCATTGCCCCTTGTCCTGGCATTGGCCATCCCAGAGCAGAGCCTGGCTCCTTCCTCCTGACACTGCCCTTTCCCAATGGATCCCCAGGAATGAGGGCACCCCTCAGTCTCCTCTGCTCCAAGCTGAAGAGCCCCAGCTCCCTCAGCCGCTCCTCAGCAGGAGATGCTCCACTCCCTCCAGCATCTCTGTGGCGAGAAACCTGCTGCTTGTGTCTGGGAGCAGATAACCAGGCCAGTTCTGCTGAGGGGTACAGGCAGACCCCAGGAGCACGGAGTCCCTCACCTCTGCTGCTTGTAGACCAGGGGGTGGCACTTCACCCTCCACCTGCGTTTATCACAGGGACCTGTTCCTGAAGTTCTCATGAAGTGTTGAGCAGTGTGGGGGTGGCAGCAAGGCTGCCTGTCCTCTGTGTTTCCCAGCTCTTCCATCATCTGCCTGAGGAGCTTTGTGTCTTGGTGTGCCCCCTCCAAGATGGGCAGGAGAGCAGCAGAGCTGGCCATGCTCATGGGCCAGTTCTCATGGTCAGTGCTCCAGCACGAAGAGAGGTCGGAGTGTGACCGGTGTCTGTGCGGGATCAAGGCCTGGGCTTGGTTTGAGCTGTAGGAGTGACCTCCAACGAGGGGGTTCCTGCTCACTTCTCCCTTCTGCTTGCAGGGCATAGAGTCTGAGAATGTGAACGTAGTGAAGAGACTGTTCAAAATCCAGAACCTGAATGCCAGCACTATCCGCACCGTGATGGTGGCTGACTGCAGCCGGTACGATTCCCCAGACCTGCTCTTGGACTACGAGGAGCAGCTGGCTGCTTCCTCCACCTCCTCCTGCCCAGTCTTTGATCTTGGCAGTGACAGCGAGGAAGAGGAGGCCAAGCCCAAGCAGACTCCAGAGCCAGCAGTACAGGAATTGCCGGCTGAGAGGGGTGTGACAGCAGAGGACGGGCTGCAGCAGCTCTTTGATGATATCATGGAGGGCCGGGTGAAGCCTGCCATGACCGAGACAGAGCTGGAGACCAAGGTGGCTGAGCTGTTTGTACGCAACAGAACTAAACCCCCTGAGCTGAACCTGCTCTCCACAGACAGCAACAGCAAGACTAAATACTTGATCTTCACCACGGGATGCCTCACGTACTCCCCACACCAGATAGGTAAGGCTGTGGTCTGAGCCCAGGGCCTGCCAGCCTCCCTGGGGCTGTGGGCTGTGGCTGTGCTCTCAATTTGAATCTGGAGAAGATCTGGTTGATTTGCTGCCTGTTTGTGGGGAGGGAGTTGCAGTTCTGCTCAGGCTGCTGGATTCTCCATATGGGAGCTTTTGAGGTGCTCCCAGTCACTGGAGGGGGTTCCACCCAACGAGCGCTTGCCCAAGGGTTGTTTTGTTGCTGCCAAGCTTGACGTGTGGCCAGACAAGAGAGTCATGGCGAGGGCTGAGCAGAAGATCAAGAAGCAGCTCCTGACTTAAGGACATCGGCCATGAGTCACACACAAGCGGGTGGATGTGAAGGGCAGCGACTGCCATGCCAGGGGGTGTGAGCCCAGGTCTTGTGGGTTGGAGAGGGCATCAGGGCAAGAGCAGCTGCAGTCCACGTGTGTGTTGCTTGCACGGTGCCCCTCAGCTCTGGGAGATGGAGCCCTGCCTGCCCCACTGCTCACCCTGCATCTCTTGGCTTTCAGCCTCAGCCAGACGCTTGGACACCTCGGTTTTGGTACCAAAGAGGTTTCATGGTGTGTTTGTAGCTGCCCCAGCGGGTGTTTCCACGGTGAGCTGATGCCAGGCAGCTTCCTGGCACTTGGCCTCCGTGCTCGCTGCGTTACAAGGGGCTGTAGTTGTAGCCCAAGCCGGGCAATGGCGCTGCTGGTGACCTTTTTCTGGGTTGGGACTTCCCTTGCACAGCTGGGGCTCCCTTGGTGAGGCACTGGGAGTAGCAGAACCAGAATTTCTAGGAAGTGAGTGCAGCGATGAGCAGAAGCAGGTGGTCTGGCTGCTGCTCCAAAAGCCCCTGAGGCTGTCAGAGAAATTCAGTGGAAAGGACCAGACAGGGCAGTAGAAATGGGAGGGAAGGAAGAGCTGCTTCCAGGCAAGAAGACTCTTCAGTAAAGCCAGACAATTTCAGTTCCTTTTGCTGCTTGCACGATTGCAGCCTTGCTTGCCTGCTGCAGGCTATTCCTGTGACTTGCACCAGTATAACCCAGTAAGGCAGGGAAAGGCAGTTTCCAAAGGCAGCTTGGAGAAGAGTCACTTGGTTCTTGCCAATCCAGGTTAGCAATGGAACCTGGACCGAGCACATCTCTGCTCTGTGCTGCTGTCCATGGCCAGAGGGGTGGACCTTGGCCTGCTCCCATGCTTGTGGTGGGTGCTCTGCCCTGGCCCAGCACCCTCAGCAGCTCTGCACCTCGGGGCTGGGGCACACGGCAAGCGAGGACACAGCGTGGCACAGCGCCTGCCTTCGGTCTGTGCCCACTTCCAGCACAGCCTCCCAGGGCTGTGGGTTTTGGTGCCTTTGAACTTCGGGGACGCCCTGGGTGGCAGCCAGAGCCCGTGGTGCAGAGCGGCTGCTTGGAGGGACGATCCCTGGCTCGGCTCCTCTCCCAGCTGTGAGTCACTGCTGAATGTTGTGTTTGCCCATCGGTTTGTGTCGAGCCAGCCTTTGTGCAGCTGCTGGCTGCCCCCAGGGAGCTGGTACTTGAAAAGGGATCGCTGTTGTGCTGCTAGTGCTGTGTTCCTGGCTGCTGGGCATCACACAGTCACAGTGTGGTTTGGGTGGGAAGGGACCTCAACCCCCCCCAGTCCAACCCCCGTGGGCAGGGACACCTCCACCAGCCCAGGCTGCTCAAACCCCGTCCAACCTGGCCTTGGGCACTGCCAGGGAGGGGGCACCCACAGCTTCTCTGGGCACCCTGGGCCAGGGCCTCACCACCTCACAGGGGAGAATTTCTCCCTAATGTCCAATCTAAATCTCCCCTCTTTCAGTTTAAAGCCATCAACACTCACCCCATCACTCCATCTCTTGTCAAAAGTCCCTCCCCAGCTTTCCCATTGCCCCTTCAGGTCCTGGAAGGTGCTTTAAGGTCCCCCCGGAGCCTTCTGTTCTCCAGGCTGAACAACCCCAACTCTCTCAGCTGTCCCCATGGCAGAGCTGCTTCAGCCCCTGAACATCTTTGTGGGCTCCCCTGCACTCACTCCCACAGCTCCATGGCCTCTGATGCTGGGATCCCAGCTATGCTCAGTGCTCTCTTGCCTGATCTGCAACACCCAAGTGCTTCTGCTGGCGTTTCCCGTCCCCTGTGCTGGTGGCAGACTCAAGTCATGGGCAAAGCTGCCCATTCTGCTGGCTCCTGTGTGTGGGGGTGGCAAGGCTGAATTTGGGACTGGGAGTGCAGTGCTGTGGAACTGAGGATGAGGATGCTGGTGAGTGGTGCTAGACAGGTGGGAGAGCCAAGGTGCTGTCCTGAGGGTCCTGGGCTGCCCAGGTTCAGAGGCAGTGATGCTGTGAAGGGCCTCGGGTTTGAGGTGTGGGGTGGTGCCACCGCTGCATTATTGGTCTGCAGGAGAGGACTTAAACCAGGGGTGCTTGGCAGTGATTCCCTCAGAGAGGCGATGTGATGGGCCGTCCTCCAGCTCCTCTTGGACCTGCTTGGGGCTAAATCCACACATGCCCAAGAGCTGCTGGGGCTCACAGGAGACAGTGTTGTGATTTGTGTTTGGGACCTCTGCTTGGAGCAGGAAGGGGAGAGTGCTTAACCCATAGGAAGTTCAAAAGCTGTAGAGCATTTGAGCTCAATTTGGGTTGAAACCCCAACTTGGAGCTTTCTGGGGCTGTCCCCTGCCTATGATTGACAGCAGTGGGGGCAAACCCTGCCACAGCCGGTGCGGCCGCTGGGCCTTCCCCAGGCTGGAGGTTGCAGGAAACGGGGCCAGCCCAAGGCTTCATTTAGGAGAAAAACCCTTCTGCAAGCAGAGCATCTCTGGGCCAGCGCAGCCTCCTGGGGCTTCAGAGCAGGCTGGGCTGGGAGTGAGGTGTGGGTGTACCAGTGGTGCTGGGCATCTCCCTGGCTGGGGCTTGGCCAAAAACACCACTTGGAGGAGCCTGGCAGGGCCAGCAGCCCCGTCCCTGGCCAGCAATTCAGTTCTCCTTTCACAGCAGCACTCGGGGAAGTCCCATCTTGAAGCCTGGGGACTTCCAGCAGCCCCGCTGGCAGCACCTCCTGATCCTGCTCTCTGTCCCCAAGGCATCAAGAGGATCCTGCCCCATCAGATGACGACTGCCGGGCCGGTGCTCGGGGAGGAGAGGCGCTCGGATGAGTTCTTCGACTCGCTGGATCACGTCATTGACATCCACGGGCACATCATCGGCATGGGGCTCTCCCCGGACCACAGGTGAGCCTGGTGGGGCTGCTTGGGTGGTGAGCAGCAGGAGAATTGACTGCAGTGCATGGAGCAGGGAGCCAGCACAGCCCGCTCTGCTCTTTCACATCCCGTGTGTGTCCCAGTGCTGATGTTGTCCTGGTTTTTGCTGGGACAGAATTGGTTTTCTGTTGAGGAGAGTTGTGTTTCTGCAGGCTGCAGCACTCGATTTCATGGCAACAACGTGATCAGACCTTTGAGGTTTTGGCTGGCACTGGTATGTGGTGGTCGAGGTCTTGAGTTAAGCAGGTGCAGAAAGGGGTGAGCGAAACCCAGGGCAGTTGACCCCAAGCTTACAGATGAAAATGATGCTGTACCATGAACATCATGCTCACTGTAACTGGGGGGTTTGCTGGGGACAGCCCTCTTGCTTTGGCTGCAACCCCAAGAGGGTCCCATGTGCCATGAGGCCTCCTCCCCTGCTTGTTGTGACCATCGCAGCTTTGACCACGGTATCAGCTGAGTACAACTCTGTGCACTTTACATCAATACTGTTATTAATACTGGTTTTTCTCACTATTACTTTATTAAATCTATTACTATTTCAACCCACGGGTCTCCTTTCCTTGTCCTGACTCCCCTCCCGGGGTGGAGAGGAGTTGTTGGGTGACAGAACGACTGCCTAAACCACAGCAGATGTGTGCAGCCCCAGCATCTCAGGCAGCAACGCTTTCCTCTGCTGAGCCTGGCTTGGGACAGGGGCCCTGTAAGAGCAAAGGAGCTGCTCACAGCAGTGAGCCTTGTTCCCCACACAGAACAATCCACCACCATCCTTAAAGTTGGTTTTAATGGGATTAAAGAGCCCCTAGGGCCCCCCTTCCCAGTTGCAATGGCCCTTTCTTTCCCAGCCACAAGAAGCGGTTACGCGCTGCGTTCCCGTGTTTCAGCCTGGATTTTAGGCTTGCTGAGGACTGGAGGAGCTGCTTGGTCCCTGCCTGTGTGTGCCGTGCATTTACAGCCAGGGTAACCCCTCTGCTCCCCTCCCCAAGGTACCTGTACGTGAACAGCCGTGCCTGGCCGCGGGACTGCGTCATCTCTGACCCCATGCAGCCGCCCCCCATCGCCGAGGAGATCGACCTGCACGTCTTCGACCTGAAGACCATGAAGGAGGTGAAACGAGCCCTGCGGGCGCACCGGGCCTACACTCCCAACGAGGAGTGCTTCTTCATCTTCCTGGATGTCAGCAGGGACTTCGTCGCGAGGTTTGTGGTGAGGGGGGCGGGCAGGATCCTCGGGGCCGTTACTGCAGGGCGGCTTGTGCGGGCAGGGCTGGAAATGGGAGGTTTGTGAAGAGCACAGGGGCTGAAGCAGAGGGTGCTGGGCAAGGCTGCCCTGGTCCTGCTGTGAAATCGGTGAGGAAAGGGGAAATCTGGGGCTGTGGGTGGCAAATGCCCTTGTTGGGGGCTGCAGGGGCCATGGGGGGAGTCGAAAGGGCCCTTCTTGGGGGCTGTAGGTGCCATGGGGGGAGCTGAAGGGGCTCTTCAGACACCCCCTGGATTCTGACGGGAGCTGACCTGCCTGGATTGAAGCTCATGGGCTGCCAATGGGAACTGGGGTGCCCTCAGCCCTCAGCTACACAGAGGGAAGGGGTTTGGGAGCAGCAGGTTTCGGGGTGCTGGGGTAACATCCTCACCGATGTCTCATCCCCGCAGCGGGGCAGAGGATCGCCACGGCTACATCTGGGACCGGCACTACAACATCTGCCTGGCCAAACTGCAGCACGACAACGTGGTCAACTCGGTGGCGTTCAGCCCCGTGGAGCAGGAGCTGCTGCTGACGGCCAGCGACGACGCCACCATCAAAGTGTGGCGCTCCCCGCGCGCCGTGCGCGTCCAGCAGGCCAGGAAGCCCAGGCCCAGGAAACTGCTCTTCTCCTGGCTCATGAACCAGAAAAGCTGAACCCGGGAGCCACCTGCAGCTTCCTCACTGCAGCCACCGCCTCTGGAGCTTGCAGAGCTGCGAGCTCTGGGCACACGGATCCCATCGGCCGAGTCAGGAGGGACCCCAGCAAGTGGAGCATCTGCTTCAAAGACAACGTAAGAGCCGAGGGCCCCTTTCCCGGCCCGGTGGGCAGCAGCAGCCCAAGCTGGTCACTGCATGGGGGGGCTCCCCACAGCTTCTCACGAACGCTGCTACTTGGTCACAGCTCGCTCTGGGTGGGCTCTGGTCCCCGAGAACAGGCTGAGGTGCATCCGTACTGCGTGAGCCTGGGACGGGGCCGCCGGCTGCAGAGGGCTGGGCAGAAGCCAGGGCGCAGCGCTGTGCGGCCTCGCTGTGGGACTCGATTAAAATAGTAATTTTATTCATGTCTGTTTGTCCCAAACCTCCGTGGGCGACTCGTCTGCGTGTGCCCAGTGCCTCTTCCCGTGTGGCGGCTTGGCCCGGTGGCAGTGGGGGTGGCTGGGGGTCTCCTGTGGCCCCCAGGGACGCAGCCAGTGCCTGTTGATGCCTTGTTAGCAACTCGTGTTGGTATGGTCAGCGTCCAAATGGGAGAGCGGGGAGGGCTGCTGGCTTTGCCTCTGCCTTCCTCCGTGAAGCAGTGGCCTTCCAGGGCATGGGGGGGCTGCAGTGATAGGATGAGGGGTGATGGTTTCAAAGAGACAAGGGGAGATTTAGATGAGACATCAGGCAGAAATTGTCCCCTGTGAGGTGGTGAGGCCCTGGCCCAGGGTGCCCAGAGAAGCTGTGGGTGCCCCCTCCCTGGCAGTGCCCAAGGCCAGGTTGGACGGGGTTTGAGCAGCCTGGGCTGGTGGAGGTGTCCCTGCCCACGGGGGTTGGACTGGGGGGGTTTGAGGTCCCTCACAGCCCCACTCGTGCTGTGGCTCTGTGAAATAAGCTATGGCATTGCTCACGGGTTTATTCTCGGGGATCTGCTGTCCCTCCCAAGGGGACAGCCATGAGGACGGCTGCTGGGTCCTGTGGTCAAGCCATGGCACTTTAGGGTCTGTTGGTCTGTTCTCTGTGAGTAGGTGTAGGCACCTGCAGGAATTCACCCCCGGGTGACCGGGGACACAGCTCCCTTTACTTGAAGCTACAGCAATCGGCTCCCTGCGCCCTGGGCTGACCCGCTGGGGTTTGGTGTCAGCTCTGAGGTGGAGCTGCCTGGCCTGATGTGACTGTGAACCGAGCGGTGTTTTCACTCCGGCTCCGGCCCCAAAGGTTTTCTCCCTGCAGCAGGTACCCAAACGCACCGGTCTAAAATTAAGCCCCTAATCTTGACTTGGCCCATGTGGCTGGGGCCAGCGGTGACCCCAGGAGCTGCAGCCGCTGCTGGGAGCTGGGCTTGGGGCTGTGCTGGGAACGGAGCCGCTGGCCCAGGCAGGGGCGTTTCAGGACTCCCCTGGGAGCGTGGGGACAGGTGCCTGTGGACAGCCCTGGGCTGTAAATAGCCCTACCAGAGGCAGCAGCTCCTGTCCTGATCTGCACCGACGGCTTTAACAGCTCCTGTGGCACTTGGCAGGGAGTCTGTGCCCTCGTTTTGCTCTGCCCATGGCTTTATCCAAACCCCTGTACTCAGGTTTTCCATCATCACGGACCTCCAAGGGGAGTCCCTTGTGTGTGCAGCCACACAGCGAAGGAACGGCCTCTGCCTTCCCCCTCCTGCCCCAGACCGTGAAATCTCCCTCGGCTCGGTGTGGGAGCGAGCAAGGCACTGAGGGTTTCTGTTTGTACCCAGTTTTGCTCTTCACTATGGCGTTGAATAAATATTCTGCTAAAGCATCTCTGCAATGTAAGCTTGTTTTTCTCCTGAAGCAGGACTGGAGCCAGAAGTACCACGCTGCTGTGGCTGCTGCAGAAGCTGACCAAGCTGCAGTTACCTGCCCTGGGCTGTGCGGTGCAGGAAGCTTAAACCAGGAGTGGGGGGCAGAGAATTGCCCAAATCTTCCTCGCCCTTAGGGAACAGGATGGGACAGCCCTGCACAGGTAGCTGCAGTTGGCTCTGCCAAGGCTGAGCACCACAGGCTCCAGGAGAGGCCAGGGGCTGGAGCATCATCCTGGCTCCTGTGTCCCTCCTTGGTTCCCAGTTTTTTCCAGGCATGGAGATGCTGGCCAGGTGAGCAGAGCAAGTGCTGGGGCTGGCTTGTTTTGCTGGCAGGAATCCTGTGCTGCAGCAGCCCCTGTGTCCTTGTGCCATCCTTGGTGCACTGTGCAGCATCTGCACCCGAATCAAGGGGTCTGGCTGCTCCCCCTTGGGTACCCAACTCGGGTACCCCTCCTGCAGCCACACAAGCTGAGACCCTGGGCTGGTGCCTCAGCTCTGCAAGGGCAGGGCAGGACCTCCTGTGGGGGACAGCAAATTAAAATTAAGCTCAGCAGCTGCTTTATCAGCCAGGAACAGTGCTGTAGGCTGCTGGATGTGCCTTTCCCCTTGTTTCTCATGTTACTGCAGGGGGCAGGAGCTGGGAAAGGCCATAGCACAGAAATAACCCCCCCCACTGAAGTGGTCCTGCCCCTCTTCCATCCCACGCAGGGCTGGAGCCCCATGGATCATCCAACACCGCTGCTCGTCCAACTGCTTTTATTTGGGGGTTTGACCATACCACATCCTCAAGGAGGAAAAGAAAGGAAAAAGAAGAAAACAAAACCAAACTTGTTTCACAGTGCTGAGCTGAGCTGGGTCAAAAGGGAAGAAAGAAAACACCCAAAAAAACCCCCAGCAGTGGCTTGTGCCAAGTGTCTGTGCCAGCCAGGCTGGCAGAGCTGGGCCAGGGATGTGCTGTGGTTGACGCTGCGAGCTCCAGAGCTGGTAAAAAATAATGATAAAAGGCCCAGACAGCATTGACAGCACCAGATCTGCCTCAGCCACACGGTGAGGGATGGGAAACACTACGGCAAATAGAGCTCCCATTGCAGGGGCTCCCCTGCTCTGGCAGCAGCCTGGCCCCAGTGTCCCCTCCTGGGCTGGAAGGGGCCAGCACCATCCCCAGGCCCCCTGCACTGCTCAGCCAGAGCCACTCGGCCCCGCTGCAGTTGGGGGGTGCCCAGCACCCCCAGAGCAAAGACATCCACAGCAACACAGCCCAAACCTCTGAGCGGAGCCGAGGGCCCTGGGTGCAGCCACCCAGCCCCAGTCAGCTCCAGGCAGACCCTGCACTGCCCTGGGGGGCGATGGGCAGGCCCTGCCTGTGCCCCCACTGCAGGAACTGGGCAGGTCCTGGACCATCACTGCATGGTGGGGTGGCAGACAGCTCCGGTGACCAACAAAACCTCTCCTGGGGCACATTCGGACTCAGGAAGCAGAGGCAGAGCAGGCAGCCAAGCCTCAGGAGCCCAGCCTGGCAAATGGCTCGTCCACTGTCACCCATGGCCACAACACCA